CTACAAATTTGTAAAATTAAAATAAAAAATTTTTTATTGAATTCTATTAGGTAGGTATTGAGACATCTTCATTTAAAGATGAATCACAGTTTAAATATCAAGCTGTAGCAAGTTTTTTAAATTTTAAACAAAGATTTCTCGACAACCACCTAATAAAAATTTAATAATTTTTTTTTTTTAATTCTACAATATTGTAGAATTAAAAAATTTTGTCAAATTTGTTCTGTAGTTATTAAAAAATTGTTGAAGCTTAAAAAATACAATTTTTTCCACATTTTTTTGACAACAATCTTAATAAATTTAATTCTATTTTTATTTTACATATCTATAAGATTAAATTAAAAATAAGTTTATCGAATTTGACCCAGTAGTTGTTGAGAAACAATTGCTAAAAGTTTAAATTTAGGCCAAACCAATTTGATTTGGTGGTGTATATTATCTCCTTTAGTAAAAAATTTTTTTGGGATATATATAGGGTTGTATTATAAAAATTACAATTTTACATTATACGTAATTTTATGTAAGTTTCAGAAAATCAAATTTCATGTAATTTTTATACAAACTCCAGATTTACAAAATTTTAGCAGCATTATTGCAACTCCTAAAATGCTAAAAATTTGATCTTAGAAACTAAATATCATATATTTAAAATTACAAATACATGAAATTTTAATTTACTAAATCTTACACAAAATTACATAAAATTATGTAAAATTACTAAAATTTAACAACCCTATATATGATTAAAGTTACATTTCTATATAAATCTAATTTACTAAATCTTATGAAAAATTACACAAAATTACGTAAAATTATAGTAATTTCACAACTTTAGATATACATATATGATTTTGGCTGAAGAGCTAATACCAGGCAGAATTAAGATTAAAAATTGTAAGGTCTCAAAAAATTCTGATTAGAAAATAAACAAACATAAAAGACAAGCAAGGTCCTTCTTCCCCTTTTAAAAAAAGAGATGTAAACTACCAAATCAAGTTGGACTCACCTTAAAAGAGATCTTGTTGACCATGTGCTAATCTAGCTTGTATATCACATATCACAGGATTTTTTTAGGTAGTTAGATTGGTCAATCCTCAAATGTGAGCCAGGTTTGTGATGCAGATTTACTGAACTATGAATTAATGATGCCTGATGAGTGATGAAACCCTTGTCACTAACAAATGATAAAACTATTTCATCTAGTAACTTCTGATTTACAAATTGATGATTAATAAAACCCATGATGATTGATGAAATTTATGATAATTGATGAAATTTATAGCAATTAACTAAACCTATGCCAATTAATGAAATCTATGACAAAACCTGACTAATAAATTATGCAATATAAAGTTAATTTTCATATTCATGTGATATATGACTAATCAAATTATAGAATTTTAATGATCACATGTGAAGAAAACAAGAAATAAAAATGAAAAACCTGAAAAATATAAAAAACAGTAGTCTAAACCTATCTCAGGTAAGTTGATTAAAAATGTCGAGAAGGCAATTTTGCTTATATATAATTATCTAAAACCTAACCTAACCGCAATTTAAGATGACCCTAACCAGGGCTAAAATAATATATAGTAAATACCAGCTATTCAATAAGTATCATTTTTGATTCATATATTAATACTAGTAAATTTTAAAAAATTTGATAGTTGAATAGCATCATTCAGACTTGCATTCAATATATTGAATGATAAGTCATTTAATATATTAAATAATATATTATGTGACTTTTGTGGCTTCATGAATATTAATATCTATAAAGCCACAGAAGCCACATAACATATTATTTGATATATTGAAAGACTTATTATTCGATATATTGAATGCAAGTCTGAATAGTACTATTCAACTATCAAATTTTTTAAAATTTATCAGAGTAAAATTTTATTACTTGTAAATTTGATATATCAAAATCAATACTTCAAACAATAGGCAGCAGTGCAGTAAATAGCTGCTGTATACTATGTGTCATTTTAGCTCTGACCCTAACTCTAAGTTAATTCAATAAGAATCTGCTTTGCTTTAGACATCCCCCATATTTAGAATATATATGCACACTATTTTTAAACATATATTGATATGAAATAAAGCACAAAAGTGTTGTTTTAGAAATTAAAAATGTTTCAAAATTAAACCAGCAATATTGTACTATTAGTAATAGTGAGTTATATAACAATATATACCTTTTAAGATTTATTGTAGTATTTGTATAGTATATATGATTAGTAATACAAAATAAATATATATATGTAAATATGGCATAATAATTTAAGCTTAAATAGACTCTTAAAGCATAATCGATAGTTAATAAAAGAACTTGCACTTGGTCATATGATTTTTTATTTTTCTCTATTTATTTCAATATTTGCATTAAAGTCTTGACATTATTTTTTTTTTTAAAAAAAACTATTGATTCTTTAACAAAATCATTACCCACAAGAAATATTTATATCAGTCAAAGGCAATATTAGTTTACCTTAATGTTTAGCTATTAAAGATTAGATTAACTAATCTCATTATTTCTTATATTTCAAATCTTGATTTAATGCTAAGTCAGTTTACTATTGAAGCTAAAATACACATTTTAATTTTCATAGTAATATTACTAGTTATCTAAATTTAATGCTATTTATTAATAAAGCTAACCTTTAATTTATTTACTTTCCAGTTATTTATTTTTGTAATACTGAAGAAGTAAGTCAAATTAAATTTTAAAAACTAATTAAATACCTCAATACTTTGAAAAAGTTATCTGACTCACTCGTGTCCTACATATTATTACACAAATATATAGTTTCTAAGCAGTTCTTGTTTAAGATCAACAAATAAAAAAAATGTATAAATACCTTTTTTATGTTTTCTTGTGTTTTTACCTTATTTCAAGAAAAAACAACAAAACTCAATATGTCATGAAACAATAAGAAAAAATCCAAAGCATCTAAAATATCATATGAAAGAGAAGAGCCTCCAAGTTCTTTGACATCAGAAAATATTACTAATTCAACTGTATCAAATGAGACAAACTCTGAAGAGTGAAATTTATCTCTTGTTTGGAAGTATTTTAGCCAAGAAAAGACAAACTCATATAGACATTTTTTAGCAAAATATGATTTCTGTTTAGCTAAGTAGGCTAGAGATGAACCTGCAAAACTTGAAGCCCATCTTGCATTAGAATATTCTAATATAGAAGATGAGATTCAGCAATTGTACTTATGTTATATAGCTTGTTATAATGATTTAAAAGACTTACAGTTAGAAAACTTAGCCAATTTAAAAAAAACAAAAATTAAATAATTAGCAACCTAATTTTAAAAGATATTTTCTACAAAAAGCAGATAAAAATTTATCTGAAAAGCAAATAAAATCTATAAATAGCTCATTACTTAAAGCATTTGTAGTTTGTGGTATTTTATTCTCTATAATTAAAAATCAATTTTTCATTGATCTTCTTTATAATTTGTATTCAAATTATCACCTACCTTCAAGAGAAGTATTATCTGGCTAATTATTGGATCAGGAATATTCTAGAGTTACAATTAAACATGAAGTTATTTTTAATAAATCTGAAAACTTAACTATTGGTATACATATTTATAAATTTATCATTTATTTTATTATTAAATTTATTATTTATTTATTTATTAAATTGTTTTTTATAGCTTTAGATAGATGAACATTGCCTAATACAAACTCTATATATAATTTTATTATTTTGACACCTACATATAATAAATTCTTATATTCACTAAAAGATTTCTCTGTGGATTCTTATACTGCTAAATTTCTTGCAGATAAAATTGGTACTATCTTAAATAAAATTGGATGTGATAAATTTGCTGCAATTTTGACAGACAATGCTAGCAATATAAAGCTTGCTCGACAAATTATTCATAAGAAATATCTAAAGATTTTAAATCTAGATTGTATTGCATATTGTATTAATCTAATATCAAAGGATATTCTTAGTATATATTATATAATATATATTTTTAATTAATTAATATTACTAATACAATATATATATATTTTTAGAATATATGTTTGCCTTACATCTTATAAAAGAATACAATAAAATTATAAAATTTTTTAAAAAATCACATCAACCAAATTCCTATCTACATCAAGCAATATGTGAGCTGCAAATTTCTGGTGGTGGATTAAAAAAATTTGTGGATACAAGATAAACATCTGCATATGAATGTACTTTATCTGTTAGCTAACTTGAATATGTATTAATTAAAGTAGGATATTTTTTTATTAATATTTCTTAATTAAATAAATAAATAACTAAAATTTTATTAATTTATAGATTTTAAATAACAATCCAGACTTAATTACAAATTGAGCTATTAAACAAATTTTAAGGCAACTATTTTTTTTTTCAGATCTTAAAAATTTAGTTAAGATCTTATCTCCTATTCGAATTGCAATTACTAATTTAGAAGCACAATCAACAACTCTTGTGGACTGCTTTTTACAATTTATACAATTAGCAGCTGCTATTAAAAAAGTTTTAAACTTACAGGTTAGAATATTTAAAAACTATTGTATACAAATTTTTAACAAGAGATGGAGAGGTTTTGATAGAGATAATTACTTGCTAGTATATTTTCTTTATTCAGGTTACCGTAGTATGTTGTATTTAAAAAATTTTAATAATTAAATATATATTATTTAAGTTAATATAATTTTTTGCTAGGTACTGGATTATGAGAATATCAATTTGAATTAATTGTAGCAACAGCAATTCAAATATAGCAACAAGAGAGATGTGACAAATATGAATATACAAATCTTGTAGTTTATATATATTTATTTCATGAAAAAAACTTAGATTCAACTTGCCTTATTGTTTTGAAACTGATACTCCTTTACAAGGGTTCTAAAACTATTGGCTGGCTTGCAATTAAGCTTTTTTCAATCACACCTCATTCTGCTGATTGTGAGAGAACCTTTTCATCATTGGGTTGATTATACAGAAAATGAAGACAAAGACTTTCTTTATCTCAAATCCAAGCTATAGCACAAGTTCGGTCCTATTGTATCTCAAACATAAAAAAAGAACTTGCTTTTTTGGTAAAAAATTGTACTTGATGATTTACAAAAACAAATAGTATCTGCAACATTTTTGGTTAAAGATAATAACAGTATCATTGAAGACTCAGAAGACTCTGAAAACTCAGAAGTCTCTAAAGACTCTGAAATAGAAGAAAATGAATATAATAATTTAGAAATTGTTGAATGTTTTAAAATTGAAATTATTTTGTGTTTAAGAGATGAAATATTTCAACACAATGAATTTGATACTAATAGTGAAGAATCACCAGAAGAAAGTACTAATGAATCTGATGAATCTGATAATGGGTCAGTAGTTAGTAATAAAACCGGACAAGGTGTATTTGATTTTGATCCTACGGATCTAGCAGCAGACTTAATGAAAGAATAAAGCTATGAAAATGATGATAATAGCTTAGATAGAGCAGATGAGTGTGCCAATAATGATCCAACTACTATAGATAAAGAAGATATTGATGAAAATTTGAGTGCTATAAAAAATAGTAATGAAAATTTTGAATCTTTGCCTATAGCACTCCAAAAAGCTGGTCATAATAATAAGCAAAATTAGTGATATGGACCAACTTTGGCACATCACTGGGTGGGTGGACGGGCGAGTTCCCACACTGTAGGCCAACTCAGCCACCAAACTTAAATAGAAAAATACCATAAAGTAGAATTAGAAATGTAATAGATATGATAAACATACTAGAACAGGACATACTATATAGTTAAAAAGTAAAACTATTATACATATTATAAAATGTAACTCAGCCTTTTAAATTTGATAATATACAAATTGTATAACTTGTTTTGGCTTAAGATATATAATTTTTTTTAGTGAATTTTCTATTTATATGATAGTAGTTTTTGTCAATAATTTACTAATTGTATAGTTTCACGATTCACATCAAATTTAGTGCATACAAGGATCATTATAAAAAAGGTTATTAAAAGAGTATTGACTGTACCTTGTTTATGTTATACTGCTAAATTGATTCATTAATTGATAGGGGTTTCGTCAATAGTCAATGGTTTCGTCAATCGTCAACAGTTTCGTCAATCGCCAATGGTTTCGTCTGACGAAGCCATGACGAAACCTTTCGCCATTGCAAAAATAGTTTCATCAGACATCATTACTACGAATCAGATTTCAAGATCAGATCAAATTCCGAATTTTTTGACCAAAATTTGGTCAATGATCTGCAAATTTGGTAATCGGTTCTAGAGGCCTGTATTGGATCCCATGGCCTGAAGCAAAATTTTATAATTGTGAGCCGGGCAGAAAATTTTTATAAATTTTGCGGGCCGGACCGGGCCGGCAAAAATTTTTCGAAATTAAATGTGGGACGGGCCTCAAAAATATATCATTTGCAGTAGAGTTGGTACTCGAAACGAAACCTACCCGAAACTAGTTTCGGGAAGCTCTAATCCGAAACTAGTTTCGGATTTTTTAAAAAAAACCGAAATCCCGAAACCCAAAACCCCGAAACTATAATCCGAAACCTCAAACTATAATCCGAAACTTTAAAAATATAATATATTGAAATTTATTTAGGCATTTCTACTTCCCGACACTCTTACTTATTTCCCTAACACATATACCT